ACAGGGATCTTAATACTTTAGACAGAGTGATCATAATTAAACAAGAACAAAATAATAGTGCTCTTTATGTGACTTTACAAGCATTTCATAGCAATAACTACATATAATAAAGATGCTATACATTGTGTTATCAATGAAAAAAAAAAAATCAAAGCAAAGCTGCCCATGAACCGCTATGGTGCAAAAAAAACAAGTATAAAAGCTAGTTTATTTTTTAACATTCACCCCATCAATACTCTCAGAGCAAACAAGATAAAGGTGTGCTTAACGCCACAAATCTGCACGCTTGTATAAATGCAATGACACTGTTTTCAGCCAATGAGAGAGAGTGATCTGTAGTAGCTCGAGTTTTATTATCCGGAGATCTACTGAATCTAAAATAGAATCTTTTTAAGGAACATAACCAACAAAAACATAAAACGTTTTGGTCACTCATGCGAATCGTGCAGAGCATATGCAATTATTTGCAATTAACAATCACATGAGCAGCAAATCCAGATTATAGATAGAGAAGCTTTAGCGTTTTATCCTGTGTGTAAGCTTGCTGTTTTTTTTGTTTATTTTTATATTCAGTTATACTACATTGATGGTATTTCGCTCACAATTTATGGTCGGTCCGTCAGATGCTTGGCATGACTATTTAGAAGGATTTTTTGATGTTTTTGATCCAGGATCTGTGCTATAATAATAAATAACATCCTGGACAAGAACGATTGGGCGCTTTTAGCCTTGTATTGCCATGGAAAATCAATTACACGATGTACATTTTTTTCCAAACAGCCAAAATAGTTGTTATATTGCTCACATAAATGCTGACATAAAATGTTCAGGTCTCATCACTTCAAATGATCTAAATGTCGATTAGTGCATTTCGATAGCAACATTAATATTTTGCAGTTGAAGCATTGATGTGCACATTCCACACTGGCAGAATGATGAAGTACGGGAATAAGATGTGGAAAGTCACATTGCAATAACTTTATTGCTTTCATTTATTTTACTGTCGCATTTATTTCAGCATCTTCCAAACTTTAAAAACAGCAATTGCCAGTCGTCTGCGGTATCAGAATATGATTTAACCACATACACACTACAAACTACCAGTCACCTCATTTCCTCAAACCAAAAGAAAAATAAACGCAATGATGTACTTCTTCAAATGAAAACTGCGAGTAAAGTTGTTAAGGTCAAGGGTTTTCAAGTCTTGCGATTCTAAAAATCAATATAAGTATTTATATTGTATAAGTAATTCACACAACTGCATATGAAACTGAGAAAATGGGAAAGGAAATTAGAGATTTAATTAGGATTGAAGAATGGAATGGACAGTGGGAGTTTTTTGGTTAATAGGGGTTTATGTCAGGGTTAAGCTGAATGTATGGTTTGGGAATTGGATTAAGGATGTGTTCAAACTTGCCATATTTAGTTTGATTAAAAATAACTCATTAACCATTGAATAGTTTTGGGCTATTTCCAAACAAGCTGTCATAATGTTTCGCTGAAATATGAAAGCAATATGAACCAAATACAGGACGTGAGGTCACACAATGCAACCATAAAAATACAGAATGCGCAAGTATTTCTGGTTTCTCTCGTCAAAATCACATTGAAGTGCACATTCTTAACCTGATCATGCTTAAGAGGACAATGCATGGGATCATGTAAATGCATTATCCCGTTTTACGGCCATAAACAGCATAACCATAAATTGATCATAGCAGTTAAATTTCTGCACCTTACGCTGATTTTGCAAACATGTAAATGGATTTACCCCAACGAAATCTCAGCAATTCATAGCTTGATTTAGTGGATAATATTGTAGTATTTCATTTATACATTTTTGTAATTTCCCCATCAAAGTTGGGATTAGGGGTAGGATTTGGGAGCACAATTAATTTTAAAAATCATATAGTTTTGTTTGAATAAAATCATATGAATTTGTGTAAATTAGCCACTTTTCATACACTACATAAAATAGCTAAGTTTCCTTGTGACTGAAATTAGGCTGACTTAAACGCATCCAAACAGAGCTAACATTTTGCATTAAAGAAGTAGTAAATATTCCCCAAACACAGATGTGTTCTGTAGCCAAACAATTACAAAAAAAGGGTAACACTTTGTGTTGATGGTCCATTTGAGTAGACCGTCTGCTTAATATATGTTGATATTGCTCCTTCAACTGACATTTAACTGACTATAAGAAACTTTGCAAGTACATGTCAACTTACACTAACCCTAACCCCAACCCAACAGTCTACTTATAATCTAATGAGAATTAGTTGGTGTGTAGATGCAATGCAACTTTAATTTAAGTGTGACCAAAAAAAGTGTTCTCATCTTATGAGTTGAAGCAGTGCAATGAAAATACAGTCACACCTTATTTTGATGGTCCGTTTGTTGAGTTACATTGCATCTACATGACAACTAATTCCCATTAGATTATAAGTAGACTGTTAGGTTGGGGTTAGGGTTAGTGTAAGTTGACATGTACATGCAAAATTTCTTATAGTCAGTTAAATGTCTGTTTAGGAGCAGTATCAGCAGATATTAAGCAGACATTCTACTAATACTCAAATAGACCATCAAAATAAAGTGTAACCGAAAATTCTGGTCTAGGCTAATATGAACAAACAGAACCGACCTACAAGTGTGAACACACCCTAAGTTTCAGTTTTCGGGGTTATGATTGGCTTTGAATTTGGCTCATATCCAAATTTAGCATCTGCATGAAGGCTGGTGAGAATGGAGAAAAGAAAGTGCGCTCTTAAGGCCTGCATACACACACCGCTCATAAAGCCGCTAATGCTAAAACAATGCTAAAAATCTGTACAATAATCTTTAAATACGGTATATACACAAATAAACATTTTCATTTATCACATACTCTCAAAAAGAATCTAAAATTAAAAAAATAAAAAACAAAGCAAGAAAATCAGTGGCTTCTCTTTCTAAGGATAAAAGGCAACTAGCATATAGCGATGGCTATCATTTCGAATCATGTTGCAGGTCCAGCTAGCGGCTTCTCATGTCACGGCCATTTCAAATGAGGACTAAAATTCACATTCCAGGATTTATGCTTTCTCATTCCGCTTCGAGCAACATACTGACCAACAATATGAAAAGATACACTGAATTTTAGGATGAACAAAAAAGTGTCCTCAATCTCCTGCCAAATAGAGTCGATGTAAGAGTTAAGAACTCCTTCAAATGCCTTAACACATAAAAAAAACCACAAAGAAATTGATATAATGATACATTGAAACAAAACAGTCAAACAAAGTTTGAGATTTTTGTTGTTCTGCGTAGTCCTGTAACACTAGTGTGACAAACATATAATCATTTTGTCACGGGCATCAGCACCTTTGTTTTATGTGTTATGTGTTTAGGTACCATTCTCAAAGTTGGTTGAAAATGCTTGAGATGAGCACATATTGATTTTCAGTTTCAGTCTAGCAAACTGGTCACTAGTTCAGCAGCCAAAACCAAGTTTTGGAGGTAAAAGACCAGAAGCTTAAGAGCAAAGCAGTATATTTTGTAAGAGAACGATATTATATTTCCACCATGACGTGTATATAATAAGACTGATGTAGCTGCCTTAACCTGTACTAATAAATGGTGCTACCCCCAATTGCGCTACTAGCAATACGCAGCTGCATTTTGGCTCTATCCATGCAGAGTTTGCATCTCTGTGCTGAAAATAAGCTACTAAGACTGCAGAGAGACTGCAATAGAAGCATACAGAGAATAACAGACTGAGGTGAGCGTCAATGAGACCAAATCAACTTTGGCCAGATGTGAAGTTGAGTCTGGTTGTGGGTTTGGAAAATGAAATAACCAACTAAAATGACATGAATGGCACAACTATTCAAGCAAATGTCACATGAAAGGCCGGCAAATGTGTATTAGTTGAGACTCCAAGCCTACAACTGTCATCTCCTGCTCATTCTCTATTTTTAGTTTTCTCTTTCGATCGCTATCCTTCTACACTGCAAAAGTAACGTTTTGATCAGTATTTTGCCTTGTTTTCCAGTCAAAATATTAAAGCATTCTTTAAATAAAAATATTTACTTCAGAATCAAAATTGCATAAGATATTAAGGTTATTTTTCATAGTTTTATATGTATTCTTGGATGTGTGTGATGAAAATTCTAAAAATATGTTTTAGATGTTTAAGTATGCACTTGATTTCTGTAATGACAAAGCATCCTTATCTCAGTACCATGTGATCCTTTTAGAAATAAGCAAAATGGAAATATTCTGTTGAAGAAACACTTCAAAATTCTCAAAGCTTTCTCTGGATGATTTATAGTTAGGCTATTAGGTGAATCATCATTATACTCAAACCCATGTCCATAAACTCTAAAGAATTTTCAAGTAGTCTCTTAATATTAAATGTTAAATAACCTTTGATTAATTTAATGTAAACTGTAAAAAGTGATCAGTTACTTATAAAACAATTAAACCACTTTACTTAATAACAATGTAAGTGAACCCATTGAGAACCTATTGGAACTGTTAAGTTGATTTAACTTAATTTTTATTCATTCATTAATTTTCTTTTCGGCTTAGTGCCTTTAATAATCAGGGGTCGCCACAGTGGAATGAACCGCCAACTTATTCAGCATGTGTTTTACGCAGCAGATGCCCTTCTAACATAATAGTTTTAATAACTCATTTCTACTAACAGATTTATTTTATCTTTGTTAAGATGACAGTAAATAATATTTTACTAGATATTTTTCAAGATGGATAGATTTTTATATATATATATATATATATATATATATATATATATATATATATATATATATATATATATATATATATATATATATATATATATATATATATATATATAAAAGGAGCTAATAATTTTGATATAAAATGGTTTTTAAAAATTTAAAACTGCATTTATTCTCGCTGAAATAAAACCAATAAGACTTTCTCCAGAAGAAAAATATTACTAGACATACTGTGAACACTTCCTTGCCCTGTTAAAAATCATTTGGGAAATATTTAAAAACGAAAAAAAATAATAATAATAAATTAGAGGGGGGCTAATAATTCTGACTTCAACTTTACATTCTCTTACATTGTATGATTTCTTGCACAGCTGGATTTTGGACTCATGAAAAATAATAGTTTGCATTGGCCAAAACTGATTAGCTGAAGTCACACTGATGTGATGGTCAACAGATGATTCGGCTTGGTCTTAAAGCATTTTTCAATGGCTTTTTTTTTTTTTTTTTACAATTCATAATGGTGTAGCAGTCAAAATAGAACAAATGAGCTCATGTATAAAGCAAATTCTGGATCTTTGTCATTGAGGGGTGGGTCTTTTGAACCACCCGAACGCCTCTGGCTACAGGCCTGCTTTAAAAAAAAGTTATTATAAATTATATTTTAAAAAACGATTCGGTTTTTACAGCGTATCCTTGTTGGATAAATGAACTTTTTCCAGAATAAAAATTTTAAAAAGATATATATATATATATTCGTTTTGAGGATGATTTAAAGATTTTTGACTGGAAAACATGACTAAATACTGAGTTTGTCTGCAGTGTGTGTTTTCCTCATCTACTGACCAAGGAAATCGATGCTCGCTTTGACAGTGCGAGATGTGGCCACGTCGACAGCCATGGCTCTGATCTCGGTGTCTCCGAACTGCATGAGTGTCTGGATCTCTCTGCGTGCCGCTGGACTCTCAGTACCGCTCACATCCAGCTTCAGCGAGCCGCACTTCCTCACGCCTGGGTCCGTGATGAAAGTGACCGACTCTTTTTCTGAGCAGTACACATGGATGACGATCACCTGCTGCGATGGCTTGGCTGGTGTATAGCTGCGCTTCACCGTTTCACCCAGCGCCACCGACTGATCGGCAGAGATAAACGTGTCGAAGACGTCGGTGCACCAGCGCATACCGTCCTTCACCAGCATCTTTTCAGGTGGGTGTTTGCCTTCCACAAATCGGTTGAGGACGCCGACGCCGTAGGTGAGTGGAGAGCGGCGCACTTTTATAATGCTTGGATCCAGGCCGAACAACACCGCCCCCTTCAGGATGGTCAGACCCACGTCGTGCGGAATAATGATTCGGCTGCGGCCCTGAAGCATGTTCTGGACCGCCTGCTGCAGCAGTGGAGACTCTGCGAATCCACCCACTAGAAAGAGGAACTTGATGTCTGTCACTTCAGGCCTGTCAAATAACTCAGCTGGAGAATAAACACAGAGACAGAAAAAGAAATTAGATTTTGGCCCTCCTCAAGACAGAAAACCTTTTAATCTTTGGTTATGCCGAGTTCAGTCACAAATGTTTTCACACTGCATGACTAACTGGGCTAGAGTTTTGTCGCTGCTATGTTTACACTGGAAGATGGATCGGCGACAGGGGCTTTCAAAATGCATGACTTTACAATAGGAAGAATCGCCGACAACTTTGTCCAAACTACGTTTCACATCCAAAAACAAATAGAATATCTTTTGTTATTAACTACATAACAAGAAAGAAGCCTTTAATGGGGTAGAAAATGTACATATTTGCTTACTTGGGTTTGTAGAGAATTAGCCATTTCTCCTCAACTTTCTTTTTTACCTTTCTGCACTAAACGTCAGCCAGACACAGTGCTCCTGTCAAACCTCCACTAGTTTTTCCTCCATTTCTTGGGTCAAAATAAACCGAAAATAAGCACTTTTAACTTCTCCCTCAACCTCCTGCTGGCCTGCAGGTAAACACACACTAGTGAATGCTGCTCTCGCGTTGGCTATGGGCGATCACCGATGTTAATTCTAGCCAAAACTTATTTCACACGACATGATTTGAATCGTCGACAGGTTCAGATATTTAGCATGCCAAATATCTCAAAGGCATCGGCGACTCATCTGCGATTCTCTCAGATGACGTCTTTGATAGTTCATACTGTGTGATTGTCAAGCACCGATTTGCCTGTGATTTCAGTAGGGCTGTGACGGTAACCGATTTTCTGTTACCGCGGTGATGAAGCAAGAAATCAAGCGTTAACCGTGCATATATATATATATATATATATATATATATATATATATATATATATGCATGCACTACATAGCAGGGCATTAAGGATTAATCCATTGTAGGTAACCCCAATAAACCTAATCGGGCGTGCTGCGGGCGCACTGTGGTTGGTGCTCGGAGAACGCAGCATCTTTCGCAGCATTTTTCGAAAAAGAGTCAGATCGCGGGGAGAGTCTGAGACAGAGAGCTTTCAAAGAATGTGGCGTTCTTGTTGAAAACCTGTTGTAGTGCTTTTCTTGTTGATCATAAATTGTGAATTTTAAGGTGCTCTTCACATTCTTCTTCTCCCCTCCTTGTTGTGACTGTTAACACACCTATTGTATAAAAAGTTGTGAGCTGAGCGCCGTAGAGGCTAAGTCCCATTTACTTTGAACTGACATTTTCTCCTGTTTTTGGTTTAGTCAAGGAGTAGGCTAAGGGTAGTATTTGTAATATATGTTCTGCATTTCTTTTGGCTCATTAGGTAAGTTATCTTCGAGGTGGAGTTAGCTAATATTTTGTTTATTGATTTGGCCTTACTCAGCCCTGGAGCTATTTTTTGCGCTCATTTGTTTTTTTCTTGTAAATACAATATTTTCCTCCTCCTCACAATAAAAGAACCTTTAAGGCCATTTAAATCATAACCTGCCAATTGTTTATTTTTTTTTCTTTAACATTTATGTTCAACCTCAGCCCTAGACATTTGAGGTCGGAACACCGATAAATGAATGTCATAAACAGTCATGATATAGGCTGCTCAATTCATTTTGATGATACAGTTTACATATACATAATTCGAAACTGAATACTTCACTTTTATTTTATTTATATTATAATTGTATTTAGCAGGCAATGTTTGTGTTTTGGCCGCGGCATATAGCGGACCTGAAGGCACATCGCTTCATCTTAAAGGTTATTCGTTATTTTTGTTTATTTTGTAGATCACTGACCAACAAAAATTAAGATACAAATTGTACAAAACTGAATTCGTTCCAAAAATATTTTTCTTCCGACAAAAATATTTGAACTGTATATTTATGTGCGTCCCCATTCGCTACACAAGTGCAGAGTTTGTTTCGCTTCATGGGAAAAAAAGGATTTAATTAATGCTCTACTGCAGGGCTATTCAATTGGCGGGCCGAACCCGGCCCCCGAGGCTGTTTGTTCCGGCTTTCCAAATGGTGTGACCAAGACATCGAAAATAAATTTAGTTCAGTCGAAAAACGGCCGCTATAGTTATGAAGTGACCTGCGTCTGTTTAATACAGCGCGAGCTGTAGAGGCGCAGAGCGTGAGTCATCATAAGCGAGTGGTGCGGACAGCCGAAAACATTTGGATATGTTTTGTAGGAAATGCCTTTTGTTTAACGCACTGATATCATTAATAGGGATGCAATGATTTGCTGATTTCACTTAACTGCGCTTTAATTCTTCACAGTTAATTAATCGTAAAGGCTTCTCTAAGCAGCATTTCTGTTGCACAGAAAAGTTATGACAAGGTGCCAACTGTGTGCTAGTTTAAAGTTCAACAAGTACACTGAGGCTACTACACACGCACACCGGATTAACTATAGCAGTCATCAGTCAGTTTTTTAGGAAAACATCGAAAAGTGATGTAGTACAGAAGGGTAAAAAATGTGAACGTTTTTCAAACAAAAACACACCATAACGCACCCCATGAATGCAATCAATCCTTCAAAATGAGCTGATGGACTACCTTTAACACGTGAGAAGAATGTTACATGGCTTAGAGCAAAATGACTAAAAGCAATTTATAAGCAGTGCTGTTGCTGCTTATAGTTTTAGTCTGAGCAGATCGCAGCTGCGCTCGACCAGCAGAGACAAGAGCAGAGGGACTGAGTTCTGACCCACTTCTTGGTGTGTGTTGAATTATTTTGGGCAGATGGTTGAGGCTCCTCTGACTGGGCCAACATTCATCCTAATTGTGTCTCCCAGCAGCTCATGAGTTTATACAGCTTTACAGATCTTACTAAGGGCTTAAAAACACTACATGACTTCTGCCCAGATCGCTGTTTGCCCAGACTTTTGCTGACTGGAGAAGTTGGCACTAGTATAGACACATTTCACAGTCAACCATGTATAAGCAATGACTACATATTTTCAATGTTTGATCTTTTTGGGCCAAATTAAGATTTCTGTGATGTAATGTAATGTAACATAACTTGTCTCCTCATCTCACAGTAAAATGTAACAGTTTAAGATGAGCACAGAATAAATTTTTTTCTAAAGCTTTTTGTATGTTGTTTGAGTCAGTGTTCATTATTTTGGTTAAGTTTTAGATGTAACCAAGCGGCAACATCCCGCTCTCCCTTGTGAACCCAATACCAAAGTACCTAAAACGAATTTATCGAGTCGCCTTTGGGGGTTGGCTCCAGGAACGCCGAATGTTCACTCACTGCAATGTTAAACTGGCCGATTTTACAGCTTATAAAAACATGTTTACAGCCTGGTACAAAAGATGTTTTTGGTGTATATAGCTAATATTACCCATTGTGACAACTGTGAGGGATGTGAATTTTTGTTATAACTCATTCATTTTGTTTTTATTAAGATATAATAAGTCAGCATTATTAAGGGCATGGCCACTAGAGTGACAGCTAGTTCTTGCTGCTCGCTGTCTCTTCCCCTCAGCTGATTCCAGCTGATTAGCCACTGAACTCTGCATATACATCGTATATTTGTGTTTTTTACACAGTTAGTTGGAATTATTTCCTACAATTATTAGATAAAATGGCATGTTGTGTGCACTTAATTGTGCTAACAAACCAATCCGGTTGTCTTCATTTCCCAGGCGAGTGAAATCCTTATATACTTATCATCTCTATATATGTATTTCTTTTACTTGAGATAAATTTTCATTTATATTTTTCTTTAGAACTGTAATGCACCCCAGAATTTGCCCTTTTTTGGAAATCCACAGTCGGTTAAATGATGCGCGAACAAAATGGCGACGATTGACCACGCCTATTTGTAGCTTCATTTGCGCTCTTTAGAAACCTATGGGTGATGTCACAGATACTACATCCATATCTTTTACAGTTTATGGATGTAACGCAACTCAATGCAACATAATTTATAATTTTTTAAATTAATTACTTAATTAATTAATTTATGTATTTAGACAGGAAGTTAAGTTTTGGGAAATTGGGATAAATCTGCAAACCAGAACTAAAATTTAGGACCTACAAAACGCAATGGTGCTACATTGGCAGCGCACTGACCAAGAGGTTATCGGCGCTAACAATTTTACTAGCTAATTTGTATAAATATATGCTATGTAAATTTCTACAAAAATACGAGATTTTTTTTTGTGAAACCTTCAAAACTAAAATAAAACTAATAATCCTATTCCTCCAATTAACACTTTTTTAAAAAAGACATACATACTATTGAAAACAACAATTAAATCACATACTGTGAATTTTTTATGCAGTACATGATCCATTCCATTGCACTTAAACCCAGACAATGGACCCTCTAATCTCACTAAAAGATCTCAATCCCCTCTGAATAACAACACTGAATTACGGGCATCCTCTGTCAATAACTGCAACTCAAATGGAAATAAAACAGGCGAGTACTCACTCAGGTGCTGTATAATGTGGTCTATAGTTGGTTTAAACAGGGCATTCATCGCGTCTGGGCTCATCCTCAACATGCCCTGTGAAGACCACTTCACAAAGTCCACACTGCAGAAGACAACACAAAGACAGAAAGCAAGAGTTATCTGCTGAAATAAATCATAACTGTAGCTTCACATGGGCTCTTTAAAAGATTTCTTCAGACATAGAAGATTAATCGGAAACCTGATATTATCGACTTTACATTACATGGGTTTTACAGAGCTATAAAAGTTGGCGCATGTGTGCTAATAGCTGTGGTTTCCAGTAAACAGATGCACCTATTCCCATATCACAGCACTGTGCAGGATGATGTAGAACTGAACGAGGACTCAGACTGAAAAACTGTCCCCTGTGAGACATAAGAGCTCAAAATCTATAACATGCAACATAGAGTAGTCTTAGTCATGCCTCACAAATGATCACCTCATTAGTAAACTTAACCCCTAAAAGGCGCACTCAGGACCGTCTGCTGAAGCTGTGGATTAAAGGTAATGCTGTAAATAATGTCCAGCATTTTGTACAGATCAATCATTTCAGTTTAGAAGACCTCATTGTATTATTATGAGTCATGGATATTCATTTTATTTTGCCTGTGTTTTTTTTTTTACTTAAAAATTGCTGATAGCTGTTATCATTTTATGAATCACCAAAAAAATCCTTAAACCCTAAAAATCTTTGCCTATAGCCTAGTGGTTAGTGCGACGACATATGGTGCAGTAGCATGTCAGGGTGTCCTGAGATCGAATCCCGGCTCGAGGACTTTTCCCTACCCTACCCCCTCTCTCTCTCCAACTTCGTTTCCTGTCTAAATACTGTCCTATCTAATAAAGGCAAGAAAGGCCAAAAATAAAAAGAAACTTTTGTCAGCATTTATTCCTAAATATAACACAGTGGTTCCTCGCTATAACGCGGTTCACCTTTTGCAGCCTTGCAGATTTTTGAGACAGTCCTTGCTGCAGCCCGCAACTTGATGACGTACTGGACCACATCAACTACGTAAATGAACGATCGCCTACACCACCCCCTTCCCCAAACCCTCACAGTAGCATGGGCGTTACCTCACTGGGCAGTACAAAGTCATCTTGGATTTTCTAGTGCAATTTGACATGCTTTTTTTCATTTTGGTGTTCTTTATCCTGATTGGCTGTAGACCACTGTCAATCAATCACCTCGGTATCTCCTGTACAGTACAGAATGCGTTCAGCTTGCCAAATTAACATGAATTGACCATCGCTAGCAGTGCGAGTTCCAACAAGGATGCAAAAAGGGTTGTGACTGTCCGCAGCACCATTGGTAAAGGGGGTTGCACACCGGCAGCACCATGCACTTTAGAAATGTATATTTAGAGTTATATCAGGGTATGCACATTGGCGTGGCAAATCATTACAGAACGCCATCTGAATAATTTAATTTTAAATAACATGCAAATGTGCGTGTCCAGTGTGTGTTACTTCCAACTGTAATGTGTGCAGTGCATCTGTTTTCGCTTTGTGGATCAGTGACTGCAGGATGCATGCCAATATTATCCGCATAAAAGCTAAAAAGCTTTATAAACCTTTTGCCGACAGCGATCAATGTTTGCGCCACAACAGGTTTTGATATTTGATTTCATTCTATAATACTGGACTTATTTTTCTACAAAAGTTTGAACTTTGAGAGTGTTTAAACAAGTGAGAAAAGTGTGAAAATGTTAATGCCTGTCTGAGAATAAAGTGCATAAAGTGTGTAGTGAGGGGTTTCACAGCCTTAAAACATCTATAATAATTGTAAAAAATAAATATATAAAGCTGATTACTACACAGATTTAGCCTATTGCAAGTTATTTTTAGAACATAACTCCCTTGTTAAATGAGAGACCACTGTACAGAATTAGTTTAAATATGTCCCAAAGGGAATAGATATGTAGTAAATTAAGATGGCTTAAGACAGAGCTTTGAAGGACACCAGTAGCAATCAAAATTTTTTTAGCTGGTAAATTGAAAAACACAGTTCATTACTATATATTTTTAGCTCAGTGAATGTACTTTGTAGTGAACAGATGAGGTGAACTATACCTTTAAATGATATAATAATATAATATCACATATTATATATAAAACCGGCAGCTAGCTATCTGCAACCCTCACATGGTTGCCCCTTGAAGCTAAGCAGGAAATACTGAGAGTGTGACCAGCAGGGGGTGCTCTACATGTGGTCTGTGTGAGTCTTAACACCCCAGTATATTGATGGGGACTCTTTACTGCTCAGTGAGTGCAGTCTTTCGGATGAGACATTAAACTGAGGTCCCAACTCTTTGTGGTCCTTAGGCTGACTCAAACTATGTACAGTTGCCTCGAACTGGGCCAAAGCACGCTTGTCCCCCCTCCCGTCTTCTCTGACGGCCCGCACTCACACTACAATCGGGCCTGGGCACGCTTACGTCATCGATGCTGCGCTGTTCAGTGAGCGCTCTTGCTCAGCACAGAGGATTTTTTCTAGTTATATCATGTCAGTCGTTTGATATGCAGTGACATGCAGTCAAATATTTCACCAAACAGTCCTTAGGGATGTGGTGAAACGCAGTCAGATATTTTGCTGAACAGATCCGCCACTTTTGGCGCTCATAAACAATCATAAAGCACTCGTGCTGCAGGAATGAGGAGGTTTGCTGAAGGCGCGCAGCTGTCGTGCAGTGAGGGGTTTGCGTATTTAATAAACTACGGCAGTTTGCGTTCACCAAACAGTAAGAATGATTAATAAATCCATACGAAACAGTCCCTGAAAAGTCACGTCTCGCTTTCAGTTTCGGGCTTTGACACGTTTTGCACTCACACTACAAGCGTACCGCACCAAAGCCCAAGTGAACCGCGCTCAGGCCCACCTCTTCCAACTGGGTCAGGGCCGGCCAAGTGAACCGTGCTTGAGAACGATTCTGCGCACTCACACTTCTCAAACGATCCGGGAAATGGGCCTGGGCACGGTACGGATAGCATAGTGTGGGTAGGCCCTTAAAAATCCCACTGCCCACAGGCCTCTGTCCATCATGGTCTCGTAACCATCTCCATATCAAAATTGGCTTCATCACTCTGTCTCCTCTCCACCAATCAGCTGGTGTGTGGTGTGCGGACTGACGCAATATGGCTGCCGTTGCGTCATCCAGGTGGATGCTACACACTGGTGGATGAGAAGATTCCCCCCAAAAATGTGAAAAGCTCTTTAAGTGTCTAGAAAAGCGCTATATAAAATGTAAGGAATTATTATTAGTAACATTCTCACATTTTTTAAATTATACTACAAGGATAAGCCAGATACCTGCCTCGCAATTATATATTGTCTATCAGGTCTTATTATTTTACTCAGGACGCAGCCATTATATATATGATTAGGAAGACTGGTAGTTAAATATATTTTCTAAGAATCTTTTTGCTTTGTAGCCAGATGATGACTTTACAAGCAAACAACTCAATAATAGGCAATAATAGAATTATGGGTTAAGCTGGTAGGAGTTTATAATAGACTCACTCTCCTGCCTTTTTTTAAAATGGTTCCATGGCACCCCTTGATTATAGGTGTTTAGCACATAGTCAGCAATCGCACATACAAACAAACATTGCATTCATTTAGCTGACGTGGCCATCTTTATACAGCTTATTGAATGGCTGTGTGTGGTATTGACAGCAGTCATGAATAGACAGATTAACTCTCCAGGGGCTGCAGGTCACACATGCCTGACCTCAAAAGAGACAGACAACAATTACAGCAAAGTCAGAGAGTCAGCAGGAAACAGCCAATGGAGAAATACACTATGTATGATTCAATTAATCAAACTCGAACCTATACAGGATATAATAAAAAATTAATAAATAAATAAGTAAACATGTTCACTGACACAGAAAGATTAGTTATGATTTGGGTATGTGTTCTTTATTTATTTTTTCTATTGTCATTACATCATTATTATCTACCTATCTATCCATCTACCTATCTACCTATCTACCTATCTATCTATCTATCTATCTATCTATCTATCTATCTATCTATCTATCTATCTATCTATCTATCTATCTATCTATCATATCATCCATCCATTCATCTGTCTATCTGTCCATCAATCCATCCATCCATCCATCCATCCATCCATCCATCCATCCATCCAGCCATCTACAGTGCATCAGAAAAGTATTTATAGCGCTTCACTTTTTCCACATTTTTTATGTTACACCCGTATTCCAAAATGGATTAAATTTGTTTATTTCCTCAAAATTCTACACACAGTAGCCCATAATGACATTGTGGAATTATTATATTTTTTAAATTGTTGCAAATGTATTACAAATAAAAAACCTGAAAAATCACATGCACATAGGTATTCACAGCCTTTGCTCAATACTTTGTTGATGGAACTTTGGCAGCAAGTACAGCCTCAAGTCTTTTTGAATATGATGCCACAAGCTTGGCACACCTGTCTTTGGGAGTTTTTGCCCATTCCTCTTTGCAGCACCTCTCAAGTTTTATCAGGTTGGATGGGAAGCGACATTGTACAGCCATTTTCAGATCTCTCCAGAGATGTTCAATAGGATTTGGCTCTGGGCTCTGGCTGGGCCACTCAAGGACATTCACAGAGTTGTTGTGAAGCCACTCCATTGATATTTTGGAGGTGTGCTTTGGGTCATTGTCCTGCTGGAAGACGAATCATCTCCCCTGGTCTGAGGTCAAGAGCACTCTGAATCTGGTTTTCATTCAGGATGTTTCTGTACATTGCTGCATTCATCTTTCCCTCTCTCCTGACTAGTCGCCCCAGTTGCTGCTGCTAAAAAACATCAGGTATCTGGTATTATACAGGTGATGAGTGGTGCCTGGTTTTCTCCAAATGTACTGCCTGGCATTTACTCCAAAGAGTTAAATTTTAGTCTCATCACACCAAAGAATTCAGTTTCTTATCGTATGAGAGTCCTTCAGATGCCTTTTGGCAAATTTCAGGTGGAAAGAGGCTTCCTCTGGCCACTCTACCATACAGGCCTGATTGGTGAATTGCTGCACAGATGCTTGTCCTTCTGTTATTGATCACCTCCCTGACTAAGGCCCTTCTCACTCAGCTTAGATGGCCGGTCAGCTCTAGGAAGAGTCCTGGTGGTTCCAAACATCTTCCACTTACGAATGATGGAGACCACTGTGCTCATTGGAACTTTCAGAGCAGCAGAACTTTTTCTGTAACCTTCCTCAGCCTTGTGCCTCAAGACAGACCTGTGCTTATTGGAACTTTCAGGGCAGCAGAAATTTTTCTGTAATCTTCCCCAGCCTTCTGCCTCGAGACAATTCTGTCTGGGAGGTCTACAGACAATTTCATTTGTCTTCATGCTTGGTTTGTGCATTGACATGCACTGTCAACCCTGGGACCTTATATAAACAGGTGTATGCCTTTTCAAATCATGTCCAGTCAACGGAATTTACCACAGGTGAACTCAGGTGAAGCTGCTGAAACATCTCAAGAATGATCAGTGGAAACAGAATGTACCTGAGCTCAATTTAGAGCTTCACGGCAAAGACCATAAATACTTATGTACATGTTATTTTTCAGTTTTTTTTATTTTTAATAAATTTGTAACAATTTCAACACATCTTTTTCACATTGTCATTATGGGGTATTGTGTGTAGAGTTTTAAGGAAATAAATGAATTTAATCCTTTTGGAATAAAGGCTCCTACACACCGAGACGATTTTCGTTTGCGTTTATCGTCAGTGTTTTACGAGATGCTTTTCCATATTCAAACCCAAGCGATTTTCACTGGCGTCAAGCAGATGAGTATGCAAAAATCACTCCTTGATGTTAGATGGCGCTACACAACTTTAAGCTTCTGACAGCCCGCTTATAAAACAGAAGAAGAGGAAGAATGGAAGTTCACACACTTGTTGTTAAAGTTACTGGTGACTCGAACAAGCATTGATGATTCAAGCAGCAGCTCCAGCTCTAACGATGAAGAAATAATTATTTTTCACCCGAGCAATAAGCAGCTCCAATGTTCATATCGCCTCTGGGCATCTTCTTCAATGTGTGCTCGTATTGACAGTTTTGCACTTGAGCGCCTCCAAATGCTGTTTACTGTAACTTTAGCAGCTCCGTGAACAAGAACAAAAGTGCCAATCAGATTGGTGGAGAAGGTTTTGACAAAACAAAAAAAACAGCATTAGGCGTTTTTTTTTAAATGACGCTTTTGTGCATGCCGTTTTGCGCATTGTTGTGCACGATCACATTGATGCCCTTTATTTAGTCATGAGACGTTAAATGTCGACTAAAAAAAGGCGAGCAAAAAACATCTCTGTGTGCAGGGGCCTTAAGACTGTAACATAAAAAAATGTGGAAATCCATATCTTTATCCTCTATCCATTTAACTATCCATTCAACTCTCCATCCATCTAACTAAAAAACTTACAGTACTTACATTATGTAACATTTTCAAATAAATATTTGCAAGAAACGTTAATGATTTTATGTCAGTTGAGAACATGTATGTAAAAACATTACACCTTAGTCAATAAATGTATAAATACCATCAATTCATTGTCTGTCATATTAAACTCCTCTTTGGTATGATAGTTTTGTTTGATTGATGAGCACAAATTGTTTCTCTTCTGTATTGTTGACAGAAACATGAAGGTGGGTAGATCATATGAGTAATCTGCATATGAAGCAGCTTGACTGGACTGTGATAAAAGGGGATTTCTGCCTGTATTTTTGACACTCACTTGCTCTTTCTCAGCGCGTGCTCCACACTGTGTCCCCTGAACTTCTTGTAGTAGTCGATGAAAGAGAAGGGCAGGTTAATATTCAGAGGATTGCTTCGGTCAGGAGTTGCGGCCCTTTTACGGGATTCAAATGCAATCATCAGATCCACCCAGGCGGCCGGACGCTTGATCTTAAACTGGTCGATGAAATCCTGCCCGAATATCTTACAAAGGAGCTTCTCAAATTCATAATCTATACCAATAGAGCCATATGGACCTCCTGTGAAGAGGAAGGAAATATGAAAATGAATGTGACTGAGAATAATGACATGTCAGAATTACAGCTTCTGTTCACTTAAATATTTAAACTATTATTATTGTTTTAGTTTATTATATACTGTCATGTACTTTTCAGGCTTTCACAATCTTATTACATTCATGCTTGTTTGTTTGTGCTTGTTTTATTGTCCATTTACCTATTTCCACACATGACTACTGCTTTTTAAATTATGGGTAGCCCTTCTGAGTTGGAGTACTTCCATTTAAAAGAAGTGAAACAAATCAAATAATAAAGCTGTGCTACTGATACTATATATACACACATGCTGAAAAATAATTGACAGGCGAGTTTGATTTTGGGCTTTATTTTTATTGATCAAGAAAATAACTTTAATAATAATAATAATAATAATAATAATAATAATAATAATAATCTCTTCATCCAGCATCAGTGTGCAGTATCAGCCTGGATGATGCGACGGCAGCCATATTGTGCCAGAGGGCACACCACACACCAGCTGATTGGTGGAGAGGAGACAGAGTGATAAAGCCAATTATGGCATGGGGATAGTGAGGAGACCATGATGGACAAAGGCCAGGATGCCAGGGTAAAACCACTACTCTTTTTTGAAGGATATCCTGGGAGTTTTAACGACCACAGAGAATTAAGACCTCAGTTTAACGTCTCATCCGAAAGACGGCACTCACTGAGGAGTATAGAGTCCCCTTTACTATACCAGGGCATTAGGACTCACACAGACTGCAGGTTGAGCACACTACTGGTCTCACTAACACCACTTCCTGCAACAACCTAACTTTCCCATGTGTTCTCCCATCCAGGTACTGACTGGGCACAGCCCTGGTTAGCTTCAGTGGGCATTAGCTGCCGGCACAATACGCTTAGTATTTTAACGTGCCATTAGTAGCACTGTATTTTGCTACTTCAGATTGTTTTTCTTTTAGTATTCCAGTGGTTGTTCATGTATTTTCATGTATATCAGTTATTCATGATCTTGAAAGTAATTTGTTTATTCTAATAAGTTTCCATATTTTTCTATTAAGTTTTCATATTTGAAGGATAAACTGTGAGAATAAAGCAACCTCATTATGCCCAGTTGTAAAACTTAATTAACACTTAATTTCACTGATTGTATAAAGTTTAATGGAAATTACTCCCATAATTCATGCAAAGCAGCCAGGGGCATAGAAAAAAGGTGGATTTACAGTTAAAGTCCAAATTATTAGCCCTTATATAAAAAAATTATACTTGTTTAAAGGTTTAAAGTGTTGTTTAAAAGAGCGAGGATGTGTTCACAAGAAATTCCAATAATTTCTAAAAGTTTGGCTGGAATAAAGAAAGTTTTTCCAATAAAAAAAAAAATAAAGTCAGTAGTATTAGCCCCCTTGCAAAATTTTTTATTTAGTTATATAATTAAGCTAGGGCAGGGCGATATGGCAAAAATGTAATCTCAATATTTATTTTCCATATTGAACAATGACAATATATAATTTAATATAAGTTGTTAATGGTTCCAGATATAAAAGAGTATCTCAACAATGACTGAAGCCAGAAAAATTAGAACGTCCATTGAATGACATAACATTTTTTTGACGGATAAATTTCCTGGGGCAGATAATTCAGTATATCTCTAATATTAACATTAGATTCTCATTGTTGTACATTTCCACTGTGTGATTGGCTCTTAGATCAATACAGAGTAAAAAAAGTCCAGAGCTCATAACTGTTATTGACATAAATTTTATTGTGATTTGATATAATATCTTTTATCGACCCAGCTCTAAATTAAGCAACAAAAATATTATATAATTTAGCTATAAAACAAACCACTGTTGTCTAATGACTTATAATTACTTACCAAGTAAACACACTGTAACTAACCTAATTAATCATTTAAATCTTGAAAAAGCTGAATACTGGTATCTTGCAGTATATATATATACACACACACATATATATATATATATATATATATATATATATATATATATATATATATATATATATATATATATATATATATATATAAAATACAACTTTTACAATAGTAAAAGTAAAATATTATTTCAGTAAGTAAAATATTATGTGCTGCTATCATGGCAAAGAAAAAAGAAGAAGAGAAAGGAATGACTCAAAAGTAGTTAAAATTATGAAAAGTGTCTCTGTTAAACATCACTTGAGAAATATTTTGAAAACAATTAAAAATGTTACATTATAAATAACTGCACAGCCTATGGATTAGACCTTGCATTTCATGGCTCCTCGTATATCTATTAAACTGTGTATAAAAAAAAATCAATCAAATCAAAATGTGAATCTCCAAAGTTATGGCCTGTACCTGAAGCTTTGTAAAGCTCCTTCAAGTGTCCCTCCGGCAGCCGGATCTGATGTACAGTGAGATCCACTGTTCCTCCTCCACAATCCACCACCACATAACGATCACCTGGAGAGTGACAGAAACATCATTTGAGGAACGACCGGCACAAACAAAGTCATAAGGACAGATCTCGTCTGCTGACATTTGACACTTTTTCAGGAACTGGGAGCAGATGTTGGATGGAAGTGACTCTGACAGATACGCCAAGCGCTTTTGTCAAGGGAACAGTGACCTACATTCAGGAATCACTGGCTGGAAACTCAGTATGAGGCTGTCAGAATTAAGGTTCTGTGCATGTTGTGTATATTGTTTACAAACTGTTTGAAATCCCTGCTTATTTAAAAAAAGTTCACCCAAAAACAAACGCAGGTTGCCAGATTGATGACACCATTAACAGGAGCGCGTGTGCCTGACAATCAAGCCTTACAGTTTAAGCTGCTCAGCTAATGTTTACATTTGTAAAATTTACATTATTTGCTATTTAAAAAACACCTCATGTGGATTTTCATAACTCTAAATCTGCGTCTCATTTCAGAGGCTGCTATATAGTTCACATTTTCTGCTGCGCCAGCATATATTAAGGCAGCCATTCTAACTAATGAAAAATGCTGGTTTTCAAGGTAGCCCAGGGGGCCGACATCTAATTGGATAAACTGGCATTGGGCGGAGTTAGACCAAAACACAGACAGACATTCCGACATGGAACGCACATTTTCAAAGCAGAATAACTGACTTTAAAATAGCTTCCAAACAAACTTTCATTTAGCATGCTCACTGATGTTTTTTTTATGTTTAAAGGTTCAAGACACCTTGGAGTAATATTTTTGAAATTTTAACAGATTTGTGTGTGTTTAGCATCAATTAAGACAGCGTTAGCACCTGTCAGCTTTAAATGTGGGGAAAACTGGATCATTTTGAGCTTTTGTTAGCTAATTTCATCTTCCGGCTTTAACATAATTTTTGGGGCGGGATCAAAATATGTGACATATCGCGAATCTGCCATAGTGGAGTTATGATGCGTCAGTTTCTCATTATTTTTCATAGCGGAGATTTTGTATCCTATGAGAAGACCCTGCTTCTTAATTATTCATGAGATCATGTGTTGTCTGAAGTCAAGGCAGGCCTGCCAAGCTGTAAGACCACCTACGTGAACGGCATGGGTCATGTGTGTTTGTTTCCATGATCCACAGGGTTTGTTGCATGTTTTTTCCATGCGATTTTCTGACTAATACAGCAAAGCTGTTGGTTAGTAGCGAGCATTTTTGGTCGGGAGAGCTATACGAGAATTAGAGAATGACGGACTTTGTACTTTATCAATTGAGTTTGTTACCATTCAGACACATTGCCTACAGTATATCTGTGCAGCTGTGCTTGCCTATGTTTAAAATCCTCCGGATTATCGGCAGGGCTAATGGTTGGACCTTAGAAAAGAAAAGTCCTTCTCATTTATAGTGTTTATATAAACACGATTATCTTTAAAATGATATAACAAATTGCGGTTGTGTGTATATGAAATTACGAATAACAAACAAAGCAGGACATTAAACTACTTACTGTTTATTTCTTTGCATTTTAACTTTGTAAACTATAAAATTATGGATGTCCTTTTGTGTTTGTGTCTCATGTTGTGAGCCAACTGACAATAGTTGTTCATTTCACTCCCCTCTTTTTCCCTGCTCTGCCAGCCACGCCTACTCCTCCCTCTGCTCGCAGTGCTCCACGCCCATCTCAGAGCATTTAAAAAAAATTCAGAGGTAGACTTGAACCAAAAGAGGGGGGTTTCCTGGCCCTTTAAGATGAGTCAATACTTATGTACAGCACCTTTGATGTTCTACAGAAGAAAGAATAAAAAACTTTATCCTGTATGCTTTGAAGGTTGAAAATTTTCATTTTTGGGTGAACTTTTCTCTCTTAAAAACCTAAATGACTTTATAGAGCATTAATCTGCGTGTGTGTTATTCCAGCAGTGATGAATAGGCAAAGTGTGCTGAGGCAGTACCGATAGTTGATTCAGACAGCAGAATAAGTCAAAGCGATTTGAAACTAAGCGTCTTCCTTAACATCTCAGTTAGGATGCACAGCCTTAGTCAGCACATTTAAGAACCACCCAAGATCCATTCACACACACTGCACACTCCATTTACCGCACATAAATGGCAACAGCAGTTATTGATAAGATCATCAACTCCCAATTTTGTTGACAAATAAATTTGCTAAATAATCAGTATTTAGACAGACTCAAATTTGAAACCAGCTCTTTTGAATGCATTCTAGGTGTAACTATGCATTAAAACAAGCCAGTTTGTAAATGATCACTTCTGTCAGTCTTTATCTATGTGGGTAGCCGTTTGGCCAAAATTAACATTTTGGAATAGAATTGACAGTTCTGGCGGTTTGAGACTATTGTGCATCCTTCCTGTGAGCTTTAGACCTCCTACCGCATGACAGCAGCATTAGAAACAGCAGGAGCAAAACACTACAAGACAGAAGTGTGTGTGTGAGAAGAGGCAGACTCTACCTTCAGCGAGTTCAGACCAGAGCTCTCCTATGACATTCTCCACCAGAAAGGTGCGGCTCTGTCGGTTACGGCGCACATGCTCCTTAGCTGGTTGTTAACAGAGAGAGACAGGAGTGTGTGTGAGAGGGAATGCCGCGTGAAGCTCAATTTCTGTGTCTGTGTATTTGGGTGTGGCAGATCTTTAGGCAAGGCGACAGGATGAGAAAGGAACATGGGCTGAATGTGGCTTCTTTAAGCTGCTGGAAAAAATTCTGATGGAATGTAAGATTTAATACCAGGAAAAGGAGCAAAGTTGTAATTTCTCTTATTGTATTTGAATCTTATATTTTAAAAGATTGGTCACAAACATTTTCATATTGCACCTGAACAAAGTTTTGTATTTTCTATACAATTTTGTAAAAGTACAATTATTATGATTATTTTTATTAATGCTATTGTTATATTTTAACGTAGTCTAATTAATTAAGCCATAATAAATATCTAATTACATATGAAGTACATAAAAATCTCTAATGCTGGGCAATAAGCAATAAAAATAGTCATATTATCTAAAAAAAAAAAACATTATTAAAAATATATTAATTTATTAACTCATTAAAAAACTAAATATAAACAAAAAATAATAAATAAACAAATAAAAATAATCTAAAAATATAAAACATGACCATGTACAATTAGAATCACAGCACCAAATGTTAGGGAATACTGTATATCCTTTAACAAATCTTTGTGCATGACATTCCTGTGATACTCAAAATTAATTTAAATAAGCTATCATCAACCTCATATGCACAATAATATCCTTGCAAAATTTACATTCATTTCAAATAGATAAACCTTCAGCTAGAAAGCTAATGTAGAATTTCTAAACACAGAGGTTAATCCAGAAGGGCTTAAATATGCAGTTCATTTTCTATAAATATTCCACTGAAAGACTTCCTCTCTTTTTCATGAACTTCCTGACTGTAACTGGAATGCTAAAGTCTCTGTTCATTTGAGATCGGCCTGCTCTGATAAAGGCCAGTTGGTCTGATGACGTCAGAGGATAATGGCCATTTCACCAGTTGTAAACATTGCCAAACAGGAAGTTTAAAAGCTCTGAAAGAGAGAAAGAGAGTAACCGCATGGAGACTGATGTCAGATTGACATTTCCCTTAGCCACACAAAACAATGAATTAGAGCAGCAGACATTTTTTTCAGTAAATGACCATGTCAGAAAGTCCTGTAACCACCCTAAAAGCAAATTCACTACTTGTTAACTAGGGAAAACACTTTTTTTGTGGGAACATTATTTAGTTCTGATGAATATTAGATTTCTGTTGCTTCTTAAATAATGGATCAATCCATAAAATGTATATTATTTTTTTGACATTTCTGAGATGGGTACTATTTAATTTATAAGAAAAGCAATACCTTTATTCAATAAGGATGCAATAATGTGATCAAAAAGCAACTTTACAAACAGTGTTAATGTTACAAAGGATTTCTTTTTAACTACTTTGTATTTATTCATTAATCCTTAAAAAAAGGTATCATTGTTTCATAAAAATACTAAGGAACTGTAACCTGATTAATAGAAATTAAAAATACAATCTAATAACAAGTACTCAATTTCCAGAATTGTATCATGTAACCAAAATGACAGTTCATAGCCAGCACTATTTTAGCACAAAGCAAAAAGGATATCATAATAGAAAAATGCTAAACATATACATATACATACATACATACATATATATATATATATATATATATATATATATATATATATATATATATATATATATATATATACATATATATACACACACACACACACACACACACACACACACACACACACACACACACACACACACACATACATACATACATACAGTTGAAGTCAGAATTATTAGCCCCCTTTTGATTTTTTTTTTTTCTCTTTTAAATATTTCCCAAATGATTTTTAACAGAGCAAGGAAATTTTCACAGTATGTTTGATAATATTTTTTCTTCTAGAGAAAGTCTTATTTGTTTCATTTTGGCTACAATGAAGGTAGTTATTAATTTTTTTAATAACATTTTTGGGACAAAATTATTAGCCCCTTTAAGCAATTTTTTTTTTGATAAATCTACAGAACAAACCATCGTTATACAATAACTTGCCTAATTACCCTAACCTGCCTAGTTCACCTTATTAACCCAGTTAAGCCTTTAAATGTCACTTTAAGCTGTTTAGAAGTGTCTTGAAAAATATCTAGTCAAATATTATTTACTGTCACCATGGCAAAGATACAATTAACCAGTTATTAGAAATGAGTTATTAAACTATTATGCTTAGAAATGTGCTGAAACAATCTTCCCTCTGTTAAACAGAAATTGGGGAAAAAATAAACAGGGCCGCTAAACAGGGGCTAATAATTCTGACTTCAACTGTGTATATATACACACACACACACACACAGACAGACACACAGACAGACACACACACACACAGACAGACAGACAGACAGACAGACAGACAGACAGACACACACACACACACAGACACACACACACAGACACACACACACACACACACACACACACACACACACACACACACACACACACACACACACACACACACACACACACACACACACACACACACACACACACACACACACTTTTTCAATAATGCAAGTTTGGCCCAATATGAAATTAAGGTATGGATTGTAATAAGCACTGAATATTAAGCAGTTAATCGTCCCATTTGAATGATTCCTGAAAGATCACACAACATTGAAAAATTCTCCTTAAAATATATGAAAATCCCAAAATAACATTCAGTTTTAAATGGTTTGTATTTTTCATCAAACAAAGGAGCCTTGTTAAGCATACACTTGGTAAATGTGCTGGGTTATACACAATCGATTTGAGTTGGGACAACATAAAGAAATAAAGTTAGCTTAGTTTTTTGACGAATTTAAGTGGATTGAACATAAATAAGTTGTCCCAAACAAATCTTAATAATTGTGTTGTTTCAGCTTCTTTTAAATGAGTAGTTTGAACAAACCGCAAATGTCATTTTTTGAGTGTAAAATAATTCTTTCAAACACATTAATGTGACCCTGGACCACAAAACATCTTACGTTGCACGATTATATTTTATCAATAAACAAAAATACATTGTATGGGTCATTATTGGGTAATTATTACTCTTATTATAATTATTATTTTGAGCCAAAAGTAATTAGAATAGTAAAGATCAGGTTGCATGAACATTTCAAAAATGTCACACAGTTACTATATCAAAACCCAATTTATGAGTAATGTGCTTTGCTAAGCACTTCATTTCAACAGCATTTTCTCCAGATTCCAGATTTTCAAGTAATATTATCGTGGCCAAATATCCCACCACATCCGAAAAATATAAATGTATTGTTTATTTATTCAGCTTCATGTGATGTATAAATATCACATGCACAAATAAAACTGACCCAAACAAATAATAACAATAATTTTAAAAAATGCATTCAGATACTCCATCAATTCTGCTAAATGTCCCTTCTGTGTATCTCTGGCCTTCAGTGATGAAGTATTTCAGGGATTTTCAGATAGAAAGATCCTCTGTGTGCTTCACAAGACAATCCCCTCCTGTGTCACTGACAACTAAAACTAACCACACATTCAATGCCTGCCATTCAATATCACATATACTGAATATCAGAGCACAGATACCACTGCTGGTAAAATAATCAATAAACACTACTGCTTTTGTGCTTCATTCTTCTTCTCTCTCTCACTTGCACATTTGCCTTTTTATGAGTTATATTTAACTTCTACCAATCACAGTGCTATTACTTTAAAATTCTGCTATTATCTTTCAACTTAAAAGGCACTAAATCAGCATTTTTTTTCCAGTCACTGCTTTAGTATGTGCAGAGTTACAGATATGCTTGCTGTTGTCATCAGACTAAGGTCATTGCATGCACACAAGTCGTAGTTGTATTTTAATTGTTTAAGACACATAATGGATTGAACACATTCATATCATTCTTAAATGCTGACCAAAATTCTTTAAAAACAATGAGAGATTCTTCCTTGCTGATCTTAACCAATTATGCAATTCACAACAAATGTGATTCATTGTGCAAATGATTCGTTGACACATTGTTGACATTTTTTGTTGTAATTAAAAATGTTTTCTTTCCAAAGGAAATGCTAGGCATGATCTAAAACAATCGCATGATTTTGATTAAATGTGCATGCAAACTTCAATGAAACGAAAGAGATCGAGAGAGTGAGGGGGGTCATTTGTGAGACAGGGATTGTGAATTTGCCAAAGCTGTTTCTCATGCTGGCATCAATATATAGCAAAGTCTGTTACCTTCTGGATGAACATGAAAAATGACATTTCACTTCTACAAACAAGTCATTAAAATGCTATTTAGTACTTACTCATGTACAATTGCATTGTTAATAAAATGCAAACCATGTGTGTGTGTGCATGCGGTGCTGACAGTCTATAAAAATAACATGAGCAGGGCAATGGAGGTGAACTGGAATGAACAGAGGATAAAGGGAGTGTTTCTGTGTTGCTGTAAGAGCAGCGGCTGAAGGAGAAAAACAAGTGTAAATGAACACTCTGCCTGAACAAAAACAGAAATATTCACAGCATACTAACTGTGGAATCAAACAGAGGTGTTTCTTCAACTATGGGCACCAATGACCTTTGGTTTTGATCAAGTAAAATGTATTTGCTAATCTATCATGTTAAAGTTAAAGGTGCAGAAGCTGATCTGTCAAAATGCTAACAGGTTAGTGTAATATCTTTGAAACACAGTTCCTCCCCTGCCGTCCAAAGCAATGCCTCCTAAAACACAAGTGCGCACATATTTAAGATGACATTTATCATTCGCCAGTTAGAAAACTTTAGAGTACTATATAATACTGCAGTTCTGAATGAAAAACTGTATTATATCTAGCATGTTTTCAGTTGTGTAGCAAGTAAAACTACATAATCCCTTTCTCATGCGTGTTATCCTGAAGCGACTACTGTATGCTTAGTGGTTGCCTGGCAGGGTGCAGGAGTTACACTTATTACTAAGCCACACAACATGCTATTTCAGATCGAATATTCAGAGTAGCATGAAAAACAATATAGGGAGCGAGTCACAGGTTGTCATTGTTCAAAAAAGAACCAATGTGAATATAAAACCAACTGAAGTTGCTTAACTTAACCAACTAAAGCGGGCTAAGCGTAATAACGCTATTTACTTGTGTTTTGTTGTTAAACAAAATAAAAATCTACATCATCGATGCTCTCAAATGTTCCTTATGAAATTGAAAAGTCACATCAATCCACCAGTTGATTTCAGTGGCTGAACAACACTTGTGTGCATATAACCCATTCATAACACAACACAATCTACATCAGCTTTGCCTGACTGAAATCATTTTAAAACATAACATTACCTGTCTAAAAGAAATACTTCAGCAATGGTGTTGTCCTTCCTCCAGTGTGCAAAACTAACTCCAATATTGATTCAAGATTTTGATGTTTTGAAGTTTTAATTCAGTATTTGATTTTACCGCTGTGATTGTCTCGTCTAAACATGAACATGCGGCGGACTTGCATGTGTGTATGCACAAATGGCGGATCTGTGTAAACAGAGATGCGCGTTGTACATACCTACATTTATTGACAGACAGTTTAGGCTACTTATCAGAATAATGGGAATTGTTGGGCGGACAATAGTTAATTGGACATTTTTTTTGTTTTATTCCTTACCCAGAATATAAAAATACATATAAATACATTTAGATCATTTAATTTAATCATTACTATTGGAATGTGAAGAGACTTTCAACCAGCAAAACAAAACATGTTTTGAAGACAATCAGCTACTACACCTTTAATTTCATTGCAAAGTAAATAAAAAGTAAATTATATATATTTTAATTTATAATAATGAAAGAAAAGTTACATTTCATTTTTAAAATTGAACAATTAGTTACAATTTCATTATCAACTGCTGGCAGAGCAAAAGTGCCCATAGTTGAAATACCACAAGATGGCATCTGTGTGTTCATGCATGGTAGTAAATATGTGACTGTTCAAAATTTTGGGGTGTGTAAGAAGCTTCTTCAGCTCCCCAAGAGAACAATACTTTTTATTTTTAAAAAGCAAATAAACAAACTGGCGTCAATTGAACGTGTCCTTGCTGAATAAAAGTATTAATTTCATTATCTGAAACATTGTCTTCTATGTATGTCTTTATATACCAACTATTTTGTTATGCCAAGTTCACAAGAAGAAATGCCACATAAAGATATACTGCACATCTAAAATGAGCTTAGATTAAAAAACATTAATCTCTCCCTTGCTCCATCCGTCCCTCCTGCTGATTTCTGCTTGCATCATCACCTTCTCCTGCACTGCAGTGAGGGTTTAATAGGCATTTTGGACTGCAGGAGTCCTGCAGCATTAGTTTAGGAGGAATCCTCATTTCACTGCAAGTTAAGCTGCTTTGCTGCTTTACATTTCAGCATAAAACATTGTTTTAGAAACTTATGGAAGCTATTAAGTCACTTCGTACACAGTATGCCAAAACTTGAAGAAGAATTATTAGCCATAGGTTAATGGCATCAAAACACATTTAAAGCATTATCCTCAACAAATATATTAGGTGATAGTTTAACCATAAATTAAACTTTAAATTAAATTGTCAAACTCATTTGTTCAAAACCTGTTCTTCCGCTCTTTTCGAGGAATGTTGGAAACCCACAGCCATTGATTTGCTTGGTACTTGCAGAGTATATTTTTCCTACTCTGGAAGTCAATGGAAAGAGGTTTGAAAAAAATTCAAAATAGATTACTTTGCTTTCAACAGACAAAACATCCCATAATGGTTTGGAACCTATTGAGGCAGAATTTTCAACTATTGCTATAAAGAGTACATCTTAATCATGAGTTGACCAGTTTTGTTCATCCTCATAGCAGAATGTTTGTGTTTTACCTGTACTGAAATGCAGTGAAAAACAGTATTTGTGTCTTACCCTGGGTCATTCCCACCCCAGCATTGTCAGTCGGACTGTAACCGTTCAGGGCTGTTTTGCTCCCCAGGTCGACCATTTGGTGGAGGCGCAGCTTCCTGCAGTAAATAGATGCAGCTTCTGGTTCTAGAGCGATGATCAGCTGATCAGGATTCTCGCGAGTAACCAGAGCAGCCTAGATAAATGCAGAACACAATGACAAAACATTGAATAACATATTCTCAAACCTAGGCTTACACATGAAACATTCAAATTAAAATACATAATGGCTAATGTGAACATTTATTCATGTTATTTAATTAGTATTACAATAAACTCATTTTTACAGCAATTCATAAATTAATTGTTCACAGAGAGGAATATCATTGTTAGCTAAAAACTACTTTGTGTAAATCACATAAGTCATATGATGCCATAAAAAAAAACTATTTACAGATATTACAGAGTTTTCTTAGTCAAAGAATTATACTTCAGGGTTAACAATAGTTTTGAAAAACTTCTTTCGAGCATGGCTCTAGCTGACATTAAGGGTGAAACACTTACAGTGTACAGTGCACATAACAGTCAGAGCATAAGCAATCAAATACTTCAGCTAACCCCCGCAGATGACGTTTTGAATGTGACCGTTATTTATAATCCATCACTTTAATATTTCCATGCTGACACAACTGGTTTATGACATGACACACCACAGCCCCTTTGCGCTGCAGCGGAAAGATTAGAGCTGCTAGATTTACAACAAAATACATGAAAGTATTATGATGTTAACTGGCTGAAGAATAGCATAAACATTCTAGATACCTAAACTGTGTGTATCTGTTGTGAATTATATGGGTAACACTTTATTTTGATGGTTTATTTGAGTATTAGCTGATTGTCTGCTTAATATCTGTTGATAATGCTTCTTTAACAGACATTTAAATGATCATAAGAAACTTTGCAAGTACACGTCAACTTACACTAACCCTAACCCAAAAGTCTACTTTTTTTCCAATGAGAATTAGTTTGCATGTACACTAGATGCAATGCAACTTAAATTCAACAAACGGACCATCAAAATAAAGTGTGATCATAATATGCATAATCAGAAGTGTTGTATTTTGCTAGTGAACGTGTATTCAGATGTCTGCAACCCAAAATAAATGATTTTTAGTTAAAACACAAATTAATATCAATCTTTTACAACCAATGCACTCGTCTTTCTTTGGCTCAGTTCTAGCGATCGTGGGGAAGCAGATTTAATTTAGCATCCGTACTACATTATGTGTAGTACTACTCCGTAAGTACTAAAGATTAATATGAGATTGGGCAAAATAAGCATGATACATCCCCCTTAACAAAAATTGTAAATGCAGTCTGGGGATCAAAGCACAATAATTTAAAGCTGAAGCATTCAATTCCTAATTTGAAACTGACAACTAGGATTAAACTAAATCAAAATGACAAAAAACATAAGTTACAATGAACACAAAAAATAAAACAAAAATATATATGAACCTTCTTTCTGGGTAAACAAATATATAACACATACAGTATATTGACCACCAATCTTATACTATGCAACTGGGCAGTGTAAAAATGAAAACAACCATCACACAGATGCTGTGCTCAGTGGCACTGTTTTCCATGAGTGAGTACATCGCAGGACTCACTGATTTATGACGCAACAGTGTGAGCAAAAAAAAAAAGAGGAGGGAATTCATAGTCCTCTTTTCTGTTCTCTCAATCCTGCAGACGGAGAGCTGAGTCACTGCATACACACACACACACACACACACACGCACACGCACACGCACACGCACACGCACACGCACACACACACACACACACACACACACACACACACACACACACACACACACACACACACACACACACACACACACCTAAGCCAAGCTTTGCAGGAATTCCCACTGCAAATATCAGGTGTTTGACTCTCTGCTTTGTTTCTCCTGCTGTTCTCCCTTTATTTTCATTATTTTCATTGCATCTGTGTAGTTAAATTGCTCTTGGTTTCCCCTCCTCATTTTTGTCTTTGCTTTGGACTGAGATGAGAAAAGCTAAAGCCACACCCTGCTCTTCCTCCCTTTCTCTCGCTCTCTTTAAAAAAAAAGCAGCCCTTGATTTTTTTCATTCTGTATTGTTAAGATCATTGCCATGCATGCAAATTAGTATCTTTATTGTTAATGTTTAAATAATGAATCACATAATTATGCTTTACCTAATTACATTAGTACATTACATTACATAACTGCAATAAGCAGCAAAAATAGCTTAGTCTTTCATTTTTCCTAGGTTTTGTTTCTCAACCTCTTATTTCTCTTTCTATTGCCTTTATATTCTGTGCACTTGCATTAACCTCAGACAACCGCATTTCAAACAATCCGCAATAATACAAGTGCCAATACTGAGCAAATTGTTTAATGCATTACATTACTGGTGGAATCTGGGCTGATGCATCCTGGACAACATTAAAACATTACTTAGTAATTATTTATATTTTGTTTTCTCTAATCTGATCAGATTGTGAACAAGTGAAAGGGTCTTTGGTTGTTAATATCACTTTTTTTTTAGTTTAACTCGAGATACCATAGCAAGCAACACTGTTAAAGCAATCCAATGTGATGCGTTTTAAACTAGCTCTGGAAGAGGTCCGACGTGTACAAGCTCAAAACATTTTAGAACCTTTGTAAAAGCTTCCTCCACTTGTGATCAGATTGACAAAACTGCATTTTAAAGGGGTAGTTCACTCAAAATTGAAAATTACCTCATTGTTTATTCTCACTCAAATGGTTTTTAAGGGCCTATTCACACTATGCTATCCAAACTGTGCCCAGGCCCGATTCCCGGATCGTTTGAGAAGTGTGAGTGCGCTGAATCGGGCTCAGGCACAGTTCACTTGGCCACCCTGGTCCGGTTGGTAGAGGTGTGCCTGAGCATGGTTCACTTGGGCTTTGGCACGGTATGCCCGAAACTGAAAGCGAGACATGACTTTTAAGGGACTGTTTCATTTGGATTTATTAATCATTCTTGCTGTTCAGTGAATGCAAACTGCCGCAGTTTATTAAATACGCAAACCCCTCACTGCTCGACAGCTGCGCACCTTCAGCAAACCTCCTATTTCTTGCAGCATGAGGGCTTTATGATTGTTTATGAGCGTCAAAAGTGGCTGATCTGTTCGGCGAAATATCTGACTGCGTGTCACCGCATCCCAAACGATATAACTGAAGAAATCCTCACTGTGCTGAGCGAGAGCGCTTCTGACCACCAGCGCATCATCGATGACGTAAGCGTGCCCAGGACCGATTGTAATGTGAGTGCAGGCTGTCGGGGGAGACGGGAGGGGGGACAAGCATGCTTTGGCCCGGTTCGAGGCAACTGCATAGTGTGAGTACGGCCTAAACATTTCTGAGTTTCTTTCTTCTGTTGAACACAAAATATTTATTGGTTTGTTTATAGTTTATTGTCCAATTTGAGTTAAATTCATCTTGGACACAAGACATGGCCAGGCAACACAATATGCCAACATGCTACATTTTGAAGTATGGTGGCTGCTGGCACCCATCGACTTCCATAGTATTAAATTAAATGACTATAGAAGTCAATGGATGCCAGCTATCAGCATCTTATTTTGTGTTCAACAGAAGAAAAATCTCAAATAGGTTTTTAACAAAGGGTAAGTAATTGAGTAAATTCTCTCACCATACTCAAAAATCACAATGACTAAAATAGTGAAATAGTGACAGCGACAAACAGTGATACAGTGTCTCATGTATGGGGTCTCTAAGGTGTTTCAGTGAGAAAGAGTGATAACAGACAAACAGTCTGTATCTAAGTGATGAGATAACTGTCTTTCCTTTTCCTTTTCCGTTAATCCTTCTGCCTTTCCTTTCTATCATTTACATCCTGCATTTCTGTATGTCTCATTCCTATTTTAGATGAACCGCTCCATTTCCTATTTTAGAAGAACATTTTTTCACTCATCTAATAAAAAATGAAAGATGGAAAAAACTAGATGAGTTTTTTTACTACCTTCTCACACTAGAGCAGTGCTGCAGAACCTCAAAACACCCACAACCCATCTTTCAAACTTGTGTGAAACTTCTCAAGTCATTACAATAATTGAAAGCACATTAAGCACATTTCAAACTGATCTCTCTCCAATTCCAAAACACAAAGCAGGTCGTTTATCAAAGTGAGACGTGCTTTTTATCTGCATATGTGGCTATGAAGGATTATACCTTGTAGGCTGCTTCTCTCATAAACTGCTTGGCTGGCATCTTCCAGATGGCTGGTACAGTGATGACCCATCTGACATCAGCATTATCAAACTCTGCCCCTGCTTGGTCACTCAGCTCCTGTATCCCATGTAAATAAATAGAGTTTAAGGAACAGCATTGATTCTTCAGTAAAATAAAAATACATACACTTTTTATTCAGCTAGGATGCATTAAATTACAGTTTTTTTTCAATCACTAACAAGCTCTAACCCAAACTTTAGATACTTTTTTTTTACTCTTTAACTCTTAACAGAGACTCACAACTACAAAACATAATTGGCCAAATGGATAATTTTCTTTTTAAAAATACGTTTAGTTAAACATGTTTGAACTCTTTATTTCAGAACAGAACACATCTTTATGTGCACAAACCAACTTTACTAAAACACTGGAAATCTGCCTCAAAATTAAATGATGCTGTCAAATAATAACATTTGTTTTCACTTCACAAGGTACATGCAGTCAATAAAAGTACACCAGATTTCAAATTACTGGCTATTGCTGACATTATAAAATCTGTATAGACTTTTATGTTTCAGTTTTAAAGGTATTTGCATACAAATCTACCGTTTTGACACTACATTTCTTGGTTGGAAACTGTATGTCCACATGTACAGTAATGTTCACTTTCAAAAGCATTCCAGATCTTTCAAAAAGAGCACAAAATTGCTGTTTCTGATATCTGCGATCTTCAGGGTTAGGCCACATGTTTTCATCAGCATCACTCCTTAAAGTCATCCTTTTACTGTATAAGTGTAAATGTAATAGAAAAAAATAATCCCTTCCACTTAGTCTAAGCCAGACTGGAATCAGCTGTGGTTGGCCCAGTTTACCCATCATACATCAGCTATGTGTTAATTATTTAGTTATTAGTTTATTAGCAGCCGAGATATATTTTTGATATTGTTTTTGAACTGATATCAATGCAGAAACAGAGGTTTTTATACTCTAAGGTTTGGAATATTTTTTTTGGCATTTTGTTTTTTTATTTTTTGTAACATATGTAAATACTACAAAAACAATCCATGATTTTGTTGAGAGGTATACTGTAGCTTGTCAGTTAAGAAAATGTAAGCATTGTTGAAATGTGTTCACTTACTGCATATTGAGTGTCATGGTATGGCCACAAAAGACAGATGCTTTGCTAATTATGTTTAGAGATTTGAAAATGTGACAACTGGTTGGACAAACACTTGTTAGCAACTGAAAAAAACTGTAATCGACAGTTACAGTTAAAACCTTTTGTAATGTTAAATTTATTTAAAGATAAATGCTATTATTCTATTATTTTGAACCTACCATTAATCTAAAAATTTTCGATTTTGACATTTAACCACTCAGCATATTAAAATAATTTCTGAAAGATTGAAGGCTGGAGTATTAATGCTAAAAATGTAGCTTTGCCATCAAAACAAATGGCTTTTTAAATTATATTCAAACAGAAAATCTAAATTGTAATAATATTTCACAACATTATTGTTTTTACTGATAGTTAATGTGACTGATGGTTAAGGGTGAGCATAAGAGATTTTTTAAAAAACAAACTGAAAATATCCTGCTGACTCCAAACTTTCTGAATAAAGTAACATTCAGTTCAATTAATGGTGCAAAGACATACCTTTAGAGCCTGCTCCTTAAAAAAGGCCAGGGCATAAGCAAAAATATCCAGAGCTTTCACCTTCTTTCCATTGGCTGCATGCAGATCTGTATCGATGGACAGATTCTGAAGATAAAATGACAATAAGTGCTCTCAGAAACCAGAAATAAAAGAAAATGTCAATCAAAATGCATTTCCACACATATAAAATTAGAGTTTAGAAGTGTTATGTTTAATAAATTAGACAATCTTTTAGCAGTATTATTTCAGCGTCTTGAAGCTTTGACTGTTAAAGATAATGTTACTAATGGTGTATCCTATTTTGCATTACTTAAATTATGAAGTAAGCTATATATTTTTATTTAGCCTTGTGGTATTACTCATAAGCATAAGAAATCACAATGTCTACTCATTTATGATAAATAATTCCCTTACTGTGTGTATTTGCTGGGACACAAAGTCCCCTGGGGTACCACACTAATATAAAAATCAATACAGTAGTAGTGTGTCTTACTGCAGTGGTGTGTAGTTTCATTTTAAACTTCTCCAGATACAGCCACTGTTTAGACTCAGTAGGATCCAGGTCATGGTAAAAATCCCGTGCTGCATAACCAAAACTGTGGAACTTTTTGTCTGGGGTCAGTAGAATAGTGGTGGGTGTCTTCTGATTGGACACCCCTGGGTCTCCGCCCTCCCAGCGCCTAGCAACAAAGAGATAATCAACCAATATGAGAGACAATAGTGCAGATATGTGGTGGAATTACAAAATGATTTCAGCTTTTCAACTTTACTCCTTAATAGAATAGAACTGACCCAAGATGACCTACAATATCATTCACCCTAACTAATCATCATCATAATCATCATCATCATCATCCCTACAGAGGCAGTCATAAAACCAGCACGGGCATCACACAGAGACAGAGGGATTTAAAATATTCATGGGCTTTTACTTCCAGGACGAAGAACCTCAGAGCAAAACAGAACATGTAGACTGACTACAGACTACTGTTTGTAATTGCATAGAGCATTAGAATTGCAGAATTACCATTGTTGAAAACTGACTTCACACACAGTAATGTGAAGATAGATTAAATTACGGCTGGTCTCTCATCAGTAATCATTAGTAGGCCAATTGGATTATTCAAAACTCACCATAAATAGCCCAACTAGCATTACTCACTCATCTTCATTTTTTTGAAGAATCCCCCAACCACGCCATCTCCACCTTTCCTCCTTTACCAGGGGGAGCTCTTGAGAACTACCCAATCTCGTACACCCTCAATTATATTTTACTCAATTATACTCATGCTCAATTATATTCGAGCTCAGGATTTTCTCCCGGGACAGCATGCAAAACCTGCTATTATTATCAAGCAATGTCTAAGTGTGAACTCTTGAAACTGTAGTCATTTGTTTGAAATGTTGGAAAAATTGCAATTTATCTAAAAATGTAAAAAGTTAATTCTGGGAAAAAAATTTCATCTGACTGCAGCTTGGTTTGGTATTTTGTTATGTAAAGCACAAAAATGTATGCATTTTAGGGGCAATGTATAATCAAAACTACATTAAAGACTTACAAAAAAAAAATAAAAATCAGTCCAGTACACTCAAAGGGTGGTTGAAAAAGTTAAAAAGCCTTTATTAACATGGCTATAATTAAAAAAATAGCCCTTGTGTGCACCGCACCTATGTGTTTTTGCAAACTTGCCTTCATCAGAGTGACCCATTACAAAATAGTTTTAAAATAGATTTTCAAGTTAGCAATTTGTCCCTTCTTTTTATTTTAAATCAAGATATAAGTTAAGAACCCCCAAATCTTTAACCCCAGCTAAAACTACCCTACAAACCATTTATTTTATCATACTTTAAAAAATACTTTTTTGCTCGGAAGCAATAATGCTCTATATGTGTGCATCTTTAAATGCAAATGACCAGCTGCTCCTCAACCTTTTCTGAGAAGAAGGTGGAGCCTTTACAGTTTCTACTTTGGCTACTCCAGCAATAACAAAAAAAAAACGATTGTATGTATTTGAAAAACTTTTCTGTTTAAACTACAGTTATAGTAAATAAAACGCATAAAAAGCTGTATTTGATCAATTTAAAAAGTAGTTCTTTCTCATCAGCTACAAAAAGTTAAGATAAAAGCACGCATAATATTGTTGCTTTTATATAACATTTGAGAAAAAATAAAAAGGTAAGTCATTTCATTGAATGTAAACTACTTGGAAAGAATTGCATGTGTACCAGTATATAAGTTGTGAAATATTGTACGTTCCAGAAAAAACAAACAAACTAAGAACTAAAACTAAAAGTTTAAAAATGGCAACATTAGAAACTAATAGGAGCTGAAAATTTCAAAAGCATAATTGGACCCCTTTAAATACAAGTCAGTCTGCAGTTGTTGACATTGTAATAGTCAGTTTCAGCTTATTAGATTCAATAAATTGGATCTATGTAAACAAAATGTAAAAAATGACTCTGGGGCAGACTGGAAGTTGATCCTTTCATCTCCCATTAACCAATTCAAAGCAGCTGTCTTCTAGACTCTAAACAGATTTGGCAAAAGATGCTTGTGCATTCGTACAAGGGAAGCTATGTTTACATAAAGCTTTAGGGACTAGACTAGCAGTCCAACTCAAATAATCTCAAAGGCCTTGGGCTATTTATGTTGTGACTGTGAGCAAATCTGTAGCAGCGGTCAAAACCACAATTCAAATTAAGCAGAATGAATGCACTAGCCTTTCAAAAACAGAGTACATACTGTAGTCTCAGTTTAATTCATCCATTTCCTTCGTCACCCACTCCACTATGCTTTCCACAAAATCAAGATCATATATGAATATGATAGCAGTGGCCAACTAAATTTCAAGAGTGCTTGTCAGACAAAGCAAAATCTATCTGTATAAGCAATGGTGGCCTTCATGTTTAAATGAAAAGCCCCAACTTTAAATTTATTCATACATCCATTCATATTCGAGCAATTCTTATTATATTTCTATTCAAATATGTGAGTATATATTGTGATGACAGTGCCTCAATAGTTGAGCTTGAGCTGTTTAACAAAATCATTTGTCAAACTTATGATAATAAGTCAAATGCTCGAAATTAAGTCTACACGCCTGCTTTTGGGCGGGAAACACGTGGGTAACTGCCCAGCAGGTACCAGGAAGAGCTGACCTTAGAGTCAAAGATCACATGAGCAAGTCGGTCAGGTCAGGGTAAGAGAGCAGCTGCCGGTCATACAAGACATGTATCTTATGCATTTTTAACAGATATTTCCCAAAAATTTTTCCACAAGTCATTTGCATAAACAAACAAACAATTAAATTAATTACTTACTTAATCATGCAAGCATTTTTTGAGGGAAAAGTAAATTATCTATCATATGTAAAAAAAGAAATTAAAATATATATGAAAAGATCTATTTGAGAATATATTAAAGATAAATTAAAAATATATATTTACTTTACCAAGTTAGCTTGCACCTGGTTATTTACTACATTTCTACCCCTAATGATCCCATAAACAGCAACGTAATTGTCTGTAGATTCCAGCCTAGTTTATACCCCATTTCATCTCTTTTTTTTTTCTCCATGCCCAGTCTCTCCGCTCCCCCTCTCTGCCTCTTTTGTCTCACCTCATAGTGTGAATGCACTCTGGCTCTTTAGTGAAGGCATAGGCGTAGCCGCTGGAGGTGGTGCCAAAGTCGATGGCCACCACCACCACAAAGTGGTGTCTGGGAGGCTCATTCTCCTCAGAGTCCTTCTGTACACAGGAAAAAAAAGGAGAAAAAAAGAAAGTGAGAGATATGGTAAGAGGGGCTGTCAAGCATATGTCAGGCATTAAATTGTTGCATGTAATTGCAGCTCAGTGTAAATAAGATGATCCATTAAGGCACACATTTGCACGCGCAGACATTTGCTCAGTGTAATGGGTGACGTCATGCTGGCAGTAAAAAGCAGAGCTCACCAGTATGTGTGTGGGGGAAAGTGGCGTGATGCCTGGGTCGCCCATACTCTTGGCTGGAGATGGAGTGGCCATTGCATCTGCAAAGTCAAAGAAAGTGCACTGAGTCAAATTAAAATATTCAAACCACAAACATTAGTCATATTGTCATGTTAATTATTTGGGGCATTATTTGGATTTTTCTGTTTATGGTAACAAAAATACATTACAATGCTTTAGGGACTCTTGTTTGTGTTTCCCATAGTTTTGCAGCTATTAAAGTGCAAACAAAAGCTGCTGCTCCTCCTTGTTTCATTTAACATTGTCCAGTGTCTTTTAAAATTGAGCTCATTTCACAATATTAGACCGAAAGATCAGAAAAAGATCACAAAACCATCACGAAAATACATCAGGTGTTCATTTGGAATGTGTTTCCTCTGTCTATCTGAAAAAATGCATTTTAAAGCCAGGAGTAAACATCTTTGTCAGTCAATCTGAACCAACTTAAACCCAGACTAAGATCTCTATTCTGATTGAAATGATTAAGTTTAGCCTATGCTAATTTGGCAAACAATGTTTCACGGTGTTATAGAGAGAAGATTCTCTGTTTGCGGGGTTTTTTGGGTCATTTTAAGAGGATGTTTTTGCCAAAATTCTGCAATTCAGAACATAGCCAAAACACAGCCATTAATATTGCAGAAAAAAACGAACATTCATTGCGAAACAGAGCTTTACAGCAGGCCTAAACAAACTATAGTTGCCAAAGTACATTTTTGCAAATGAACACCTCACTAGTACCTTCTGAACTTCTAAAACCCTCTCTAAATCCATTTAAATGGCATACGGATATCAGGAAGCACTCTAAGGCTCAGTTTCATGGTCACAGATGGAGACCAGGACTAAGTGGCACCATCAATGGCGATTCTTGACTAGAAATTATTTTTAGTGGGAACTAGTCTTAAAAGCCTCAATTAAACGTTCAGCGAATTCGCCTGAAAGACCATTCATTTGACCATACTATTTTTTTTTATAACATCGCTTATGTCTAACATTTTACATTATTTGGTCATAAAATCATCAAATCCTTTAAGAGCTTTAGACCACTACAGCAACAGCTGCTCCCCTCCACACTGACATTTGAATCGAATTAGAGGTTGTATTTGTCCATTCCCATCGTCCTCATTAGCCGGGCCTAATAGCTTCGCTAAAACACTCGGATGCTGAGCACCCTGAACGCTAAAAGAGCGCCCGGGTTCCTCGCTCCACGGGATGCCACGTTTTTCTGAGCGTTCATCCTTTTTCTCTGCCTTTACCCCATACTGAGCGGTGGAGTGAACAGAATGAGTGTGGCGCTCTTCAGTGAGTAATTACGGGTTGAGTGACTGGCTACCTGCGGCTCGCACTTCATTTCAACCACTCACCGCATACACCAGCTCCAGCTACCGAGATTGATTTTAAAATGGGACAATGGAACGTCAAAATCAATACTGAAGGAGTAAAATGATTGTCTATAATGATAAACGCCTATAAGTGAAGTGTTATTCAGAAACACACACTTGACCGTCTTTTTATACTTTTCCGAGAATGGATTTGCGGGTTAAAGGAACTTAAGTTTGTTTACATGGCAACACGACTCACTGTACGGAGGCTTCATTATAACACATTAAAGTTGCGCGAGGGTAATTACGTGACATCAATGGCGGCCGCTTCTCCGGCAGCTGATTGAGAGCTACTTGATTAGGGCTGTGATTGTGTGTGTGTGTGTGTATGTTACATGTCTTTTCAATGAAGCTCTTTAAGTCACAACAGAGGATTCAGACATGTGTGGGAATTGGAAAGCAGAAAATGGGCATAAATGGTGGAAAATTACTTGCATTACGGCCAGAGTGCGAAACGGACCAATTCCTTTGATTTTCCTGCTGCTTTAAAGACTTATTTACACATAAGCATGACAACAGATTTATCTGCACACTGGTCTGAGCTGAATAGATGCACCATGAATTGTTTGCGAACAAGAAGAAAAATAAAAGGTAAATCAATCATTTTACTCAGGATTGGCTGACATAATGAACAGTTTTAACACAATACCTACAGTGCTTCACTTTTCATTATTGTTATTTGGCAAGACGTGCAATTGTTTACTCAGCAGGTCTGCAAAAGTTCGAAAAGTTTATGAAAACAGCGAAAACAAAAGGACTTTCTCATTGAGGCAATCGCACAAGCCAGAACCGCTTCGCATGTGTCGATCCGAGCAACAAAAATAAACAGAAATCAGAGAGAGGATGGAGAGATGGCATAAAAACGTAGAGTATGCTGTTTTCACCCCTCCTCTTGTGCACATGAGAAAGGGAGTGAATGAACGGGTGTTCATACTCTGTTCTGGAATGTTATGCAGAATTCTGACAGGAAGCAGGAGGAGTCAGAGGTCATACCTCCTCTGTGGATTTACAAATTCAGAGAAATTCCAGGCAGAATTTCCACAGAAATAATAGAGCAGAGAGACATATGGAGATCTGACGTGCACAGACGAAAGCGGTCTTAAAGATCTGGAAACTATTAACTGTAAAATATGCAAAACTGTGATGGCATTTAAGAATCAGAGAGCTGGGGTATTTTTAAATGCGAAGAAATAAACTTAAAATGTCAATCGTGAATCAGTCAATTTACTGTTTATTATTCATTGATAACTGGGTATCTATAAAGGAAGTTACGTAACTGGGCTTTTTCAGCCATTCTCAGAAATCAATCCTCTTTTCCACTTTCCCCCATTCTTCACTGAGGGACTTTTGCTTCCTTTGAGGCCGCATGCCTCATTTCCCCAGACAAAAGAGAATTTAAAAGGAAAGACAAATATTCACTTTTATCATGGGTTTCACAACACTGCACTTTGACTGTCGCAAAATGAAAAGAAAAAAGGGTTTGTACAAAGTTCACTGTATCATTATTTTCTTACTCAAAGCTAAAGTCAGAACTGAAGCATATCAAAGAGAATTTAGCAAGATCAAACAAAAGACTTGATTAGTTATATTAAAATGATTATCATTGCTATATAAATTATAATAATCATTATCATATTAAATTAAAACTAATATTACTAAAATTATAATAGGGCGAGGCAGTGGCGCAGTAGGTAGTGTTGTCGCCTAACAGCAAGAAGGTCGCTGGTTCGAGCCTCAGCTCAGTTGGTGTTTCTGTGTGGAGTTTGCATGTGTTTCCCAGGGTTTGCGTGGGTTTCCTCCGGGTGCTCCGGTTTCCCCCACAGTCCAAAGACATGTGGTAAAGGTGAATTGGGTAGGCTAAATTGTCCGTAGTGTATGAGTGTGAATGTGTGTGTGGATGTTTCCCAGAGATGGGTTGTGGCTGGAAGGGCATTCACTGCGTGAAAAATTGCTGGATACGTTGGCGGTTCATCCCGCTGCGGCTACCCTAGATTAATATAGAGACTAAGCCGACAAGAAAAGGAATAAATGAATGAAAATTATAATATTATTTATTATTATAAATATAACATTTTTAATAATGAAACCTCCATGACTCTTTTATTTAGACAACTATTTAGTCACTAAAGTAATTTTGTGTAATAATCTTTTACATACTAAAAACAATATTGTCAGGAATATAGAACAAGAATCATTTAATCACACATTAAAAGATAAAGGTGCAGCCTCAAAACACTAAATATATATCCTTTTAAATCCTTATTCTTTGCCACTCTTCTTAAAATCACTAGGCTTTACCTTTTCATCAATAAGGAGTTTTATTAACAATTTGTATTATGATTACTTACTCTGTTGATTTTATTTCATTATGTATGTATGTATGTATGCATGTATGTATGTATGTGTATATATATATATATATATATATATATAGACACACACACACACACACACACACACACACACACACACACACACACACACACACACACACACACACACACACACACACACACACACACACACACACACACATATATATATATATACACACACACACATATATATATATATATATATATATATATATATATATATATATATATATATATATATATATATATATATATATATAGACACACTCACACACACACTAAATCACTTTTTACAGTTTGTGTATATACAATTGCTTCTACAAAATGTATTTGATGTGGACACCAAAATGGGATGTTTTCTCTCCCCCCCCATACTCATCAAATCTTCAACAGCTAGTGTAATTGAAGCCATTTCTCTCATCGGAAGTTTAAAAACTAGAACTTTCAATCTGGTTCATGATTTTATTCCATCAATACAGCACACAGACAGAAGAGAGGACAAGACAATCCCAAGAACATCTGTAAAATATTACGACTTTAAATCACACATTACAGTTTTGATCCGTTATGAATTATAAGATTTGGTTTTTTGGGGGGGTTTAAATCAAATCTCTACATGTTTGAGACAAATTGCTGCTTACCCTGTAACTTTCCGTTTTCCAAAAATTATACCCCATTGCAAAGATACAGAAAAGCAAATCTATCATCATGTCAAGTTGAGAATTCCCTGGTAAGTGAAACCAGATCAAGAAAAGGGAAAACGCAAAATTTATGCATATCACAAGCTGTAAAACAACTCCTTTTTTTTCAATAAACTCTAATAAATCATTGCACACAAAACTTTCAAATGAAGTTTGTGGGAATGTTACAATGATCTTTTTAGGCCAGAGCTAAAAAAACAGAGCTCAGATACCGCTAAACAAGCAGCAAACCGCAACTGAGATGAGCCGTGAAAAAGAGAGGCCATTGACGGGGCAGGACTACGGTGTATGTGAAGGTCCATTCAGAGATGCAGCACTAGAAATGCCAAAAAGCAAACACAGCCGGCAGTCCTTTTGCTCACACTCGCTGTGTCCAGCTGGCCCTGTTCACTCACAAACATACACAAACACATGAAAAACACTCACACAAATCCCACACACGGTGGGCAAGAGAAGCCACACAACAGCTGAGACTGCTGCAATGCTGTTAGTCTTGCTTTCAGTAAGGCCTGTCAACTTCACCAGAGGAAAATAAGGGACACTCGATTTTTGTTTAGGAAGCATTAGAGATTTCAGCAAACCGGTT